CCTGTACCTTAAAAAAGCAATTCACTCCTCCAGCTTTGAAACAGCTTTTAAAGTGAGGCACCGACAGGGAAAAGAAGGCATTCGGCACATCCAAAATCTTTTGTCAGGAGCTTGACAAAAGCAAGAAATCATAGCAGAAAATGGAGAGGGATTTGTACTTTATAAAACAGGAAAACAGACATCCATTTGTTTCCCCAATGTGTCGAGCAGAAGCATAACAACATTTCACAGAAAGCAACCTCTTCATCACCAAGTTGTTTTCATTCTGTCCTCCCGGATGCTTTCTTTTTTGCTAATCCTCTCCCCTCACACATTGTTGCGGTCTCAGAGAAAATTAGTTGGATGGAGCTGGCCTATTGAGGAAGCAATTCGTAAATAAATGTGATCATGCAAATGTGATCTTTTCTTGTTAGAAACGGGCATCTGATGTGATGTGAGTGGTGAGAGAAAGAGAGACAGCGAGACAGATGGGGGTACAGAGTGAGGAATCAGCAGAGACAGTTCAGGCAGGGAAATTTTCTGTAAGTCGTGACTGTGGTAATAATGATTAAATTCAAAAACCTTTTCTGCTGAAGCTTGTAGACCGCGTGCGTGTGTGTGTGTGTGTGTTTTCTGACAGCAGTGTGACTGACCCAGTTTGCCAAAGAGCTCCACTCCCAGCGCAGCGTAGATGAAGAAGAGCAGCATGAAGAGGAGACCAAGATTTCCCACCTGGAAGCAATACATATGTGTAAATATTGCTTGTTTAAAGCTGCAGGCAATAGAAGACATTAAGATTCATTGCATCGTAATTATTCCATTTGACACTAACCTAACCATGCATTATGAATGAAAAGAACATATTTACAAAAATGTCTTGCACCAACGTGAACTTTTTGCTATTGACATATTCTCTAAATAGGCTGACACACATTAACCTAAGACATGTGCATTTATATACAGCGCCATGCTATCTGAATTCAGTTTATTCAGCAAATAAACTGATAAACTGTTATTACCTTAGCTGAAATGAACAGGCAGGCATGTTTTCTGTGTTTTTGCCAGTTTTTTTTTTGCCAGCTTTGACATTTTCTATCAAAAATCTGACCTGAGTTACTGAAAGCAGCTTTCTACTCAGTTCACTAAAAAAGTGAACCTGAAGTGCTCCAGTATTTCTGGGCAGATCCCGTGAACTGCCCTGCACTTCCTATAAACTACATCTGCTTTGATTACAGTCGGAAAGTTCCCAGCATGTTGTCGCTTATCCAGTTCCTTCAAAACCTGTTCTTGTGCACTCTGTGCCCTGACCGTTATATGTGCACACTTGACATTTAGAAAATAGCAGAACAATGGAGTCTGTCACTGCATGTGCATCATAATCTTTGGTGCAGCTGCTCTTTGCCTCCAAGAACTATGCCAGGCAGCAGGAGAGAGACCTGAGGTACTCCCACAACATCCGTGCACATGCACATAAAAGGAGCGTGTTGACTGGATAGAAAAAGCGCATAGAGTAACATCAGGCTGGAAGTCGGCCGTCTAGTCTGACTCAGCACAGCTCTTTTTTCAGTTTAAGGTCCAATCCATGCAAAAATGCTGTATGAAGTGGCCCTCTCTTTGAATCGTTAATTTAACTGACATCTTTGAGGCCTCTATGTCCTCAGCTGCACCATCTACTTTTATTGTGCCTTTAGAGATTACTAACAAAGCAGATGATTATTGCTGGTTTATTGTTGTTAATTGTGACGTTTCACCTTTATTATCATGCTCATTTAATGATAAAATCATGCCGAGCTGTAGAGAGGTAGGAGAAGGCATGTACACAATGAGACATTTTAAGGTCAGCGAACAAATTTTGTAACATGGACGGATATGACTTGAGTTAAATATTCATCAGCAAGCATAAATCTTTCAGAAAACTGTCTATTCCGAACAAAACCTTCATATTTAACCCATATTCATAAAAAAGAAAAATCATAAATAAAACAAAATCACTCTTTCGTATTTCGTATTGTGTGTTTACCTGTGGCAGGGCTTGCATGACAGTATCTAGAAGAGCTCTCATCCCTGTGGCCATCTTCAGAAGTTTTAGCACTGCAGAGAGACAGAGGAGGAGCTAGTTGTTGTTGCTGGTTTC